CAAAAAATATTAACTGTCCTCTCATTCTTTATTTCATATATGTGATTGTGGTAACTCTTTTCCTTCTTCAGTCTTCACAGGGAGAAGAGTATAACTTTCCAAAATGGGAATTTTTCCCCTGTTTTTCATCAATTGTCACAATAAAAGAAAAGAAATATAATGAAAAATAATATCATTTCATTTTATGAAAACTAGTCTGCTTCATTTTCCAGACTTAGATGGAGAATTTAACATCTGTTCAGCGTCTTTTCCTTCTTTTGCACCCTGTACTGCTAGCTTCATAATGCAGTTCAAGGAAGGGGATACCTTCTCCACATCTATTTATACTAAACCATGTTTGATTATTTCCTCCCTCCATTTGAACATAGTAAAGAGAAAATCCCAAATTTTATATTTAAACTGAAAAGTCTTTCTACTTAGGAATCTGAAAAGGAAAAATTTTGAGGAAAGTGGAACTCGAGGCTTTACAGAAATAAAGCAAATACATAGGTATTGCAAAAGAAACATAAGATCTTGCATCTGATCTGTTAAATATTCCATCAACAAGGTCAAGAGTAAAGACAAGCCCAGCCACAAAAACTGAAGCAAGAGTAAGCTTTAATAAAAAAAAAAATGCACAGTTTATCCTCTTCAGCTTTTCAAGTGTAAAAACAAAACCTTTTTTACTAGAGAAAAATCAAGCATGTATATAGCATTTAAAAAGACACCAATATCAACCATTTTAATGAAAGACTAACCAATATTTTCAAAGAACTATAAAAGGGAGTGAGACTAAGTGTTATGGCAAAAAGCCTGGGCTCAGCAAGTTTGTGTGGGAAATGGTGAAATGTGACTGTGATTTATAATGAGAAAAGGTATCTACAACATACAATTTTCTACCTAGCTGCAAATAATAATTCATAGTGATGTCCCTTCCAGATAAAATACCTTTGCAATGTAAGCCCCATGTGGTAAAATGATCATGATAAATGTCAGACCAGTGCAGGTAACGGCTTTACAAACCATTAAGATTAGCTGGATTTTTTTTTTTTTTTTTTTGACGATAACAGTAACCATGCTTTGATTCTATGTGGTAATAATATCTCAGTACTGATAAATGCCAGAGCCAGGCAGAGGTGTTTATCATTCCCGGTTCAGAAATGCTGACTAAAGTTACCACATGTTGCCTGGTTTTTCTTCTTTTACAGTAGACTCATAATTAACAAATAGACTGAATCACAAAACAATTTTATGCAAAATTTTTACAGTTCTTGTGCTCTAGTACACTAATACTGATTACTTTGGTACAGTAAGTCCTAAACCAAAGCTTTCTACCTTTGCCATTCTCATAATAAATAATTTCTTTGTAAATGAATACTTCTCTTTTTAGTTAACTTCTTTTACAAATACACCTTATAAGGAAGAGCAGCCTTGGCTACCAAGCTGGTATCTGTGTTAATCAACACAGAGCAGAGACACTTCCTTCAAGAAAGCACAATAAAGTTTTACTGTGCATTTCCTTGCAAATATTCTACAATGGACAAAAACTGCAGAAGTCTTTTCTCCCACTGAGTCTCTCCCTACCTCAGTGTTTCAGTTCTGCTCAAGTCCATTGAATTCTCAGGAGAAAACAGAACTAAAAATAAAGCCACTTGGGAAACTTTATTTGAGAAGTTGTTGTATAGTCAGGGTAGCCCCCTATCTGAATATAACTTATCTAGTAAGATCATAACAGGTCTTAGTGCTGCATAGGGCAATGAAACTGGTGGAGGATCTAGAGCACAAATCTTAAGAGAAACATCTGAGGGGACTGGGGTTGTTTCTCCTGGAGAAAAGGATGCTCAAGGGAGACCTCATTGCTCTCTACAACTACCTCAAAGGAGGTTGTAGCAAAGTGGGGGTCAGTCTCTTCTCCAAGTAACAAGCTATAGGACAAGAGGAAACATCCTCAAGTTGTGCCAGGGGAGGTTTAGATTGGATATTAGGAAACAATCCTTCACTGAAAGGGTTGTCAAGCATTGGAATAGGCTGCACAGGGAAGTGGTGAAGTCACCATCCCTGGATGTATTTAAAAGACGTGTAGATGTGGTACTTAGGGACATGGTTTATTGATTGACTTAGCAGTATTGAGTTAACGGTTGGACTTTGTGAGCTTAATGGTCTTTTCCAACCTAAAAGATTCTATGATTCTATGTGTGCACACCAAACAGCACAAATACAGAATTTGTATCCCCTTCCTAAAATAAATTCACTTCAGCGAATTTAATATAATTTTAATTTGTAACTTCAGTCATATTTCCATTGCTATAGAAGCCCCCAGGTACCCATAGCCCCCTATAGAAGCCCCCAGGTACCCATAGCCCCCTATAGAAGCCCCCAGGTACCCATAGCCCCCTATAGAAGCCCCAGGTACCCATAGCCCCCTATAGAAGGGCTCCAGGTACCCATAGCCCCCTATAGAAGCCCTAGGGGCTCACCGAGCACCCGGATCTCCATGGGGCCGCAGGAGTTGAGCTCCTCCATCCCTTCCACCTCAGTGAAGGTGACGAAGTCCCCGGTCTCGAAGCCGTGCCGGGCCTCATCCAGACACGTGACCTCCCCTGGGCACCCCTTAATGGGTGGGGGGGGACCACAGCGTCAATGGGTGCTGAGCATCACCCCCCCCCCGCTTCCCAGCATCGCCTATAGGGGTTACTGGTACCTTGGTTACCATGGAAACCATGGCGCTGAGGGGCTGCTCGCCGTTGGTGTCCGTCACCACCATGTCGTCCCCGAAGTCACAGAAGAGCTGGCTGGGGGGGGGGGGGTAAAGGGGGGGTCAGGGGGACGGGGATCCCAAAAGGGGCCCAAGTGAAGCCCAAAGGGACCTAAGGGGATCCAAAGGGATGGGGGACCCTGAAAGGGACATAAGAGAACCCCAAAAGGGACCCAAAGGGAGACAGGAGCCCCAAAACGGACCCAAGGGGATGGGGGACCCCAAACGGGACACAAGGGGATGGGGTACCCCAAAAGAGACCCAAGGGGAGACAGGAGCCCCAAAAGGGACCCAAGGGGATGGGGGACCCCAAAAGGGACACAAGGGACCCAAAAGGGACCCAAGGGGATGGGGGACCCCGAAAGGGACCCAAGAGAACCCCAAAAGGGACCCAAGGGGAGACAGGAGCCCCAAAACAGACCCAAGGGGATGGGGGACCCCAAAAGGGACCCAAGGGGTGACAGGAGCCCCAAAACAGAGCGAAGGGGATGGGGGACCCCAAAAGGGACACAAAGGACCCAAAAGGGACCCAAGAGAACCCCAAAAGGGACCCAAGGGGAGACAGGAGCCCCAAAAGGGACCCAAGGGGATGGGGGACCCCAAAAGGGACCCAAGAGAACCCCTAAAGAGACCCAAGGTGACCCCGAAAGTGACCCAAGGGGAGACAGGAGCCCCAAAAGGGACCCAAGGGGAAAGGGGACCCCCAAAAGGGACCCAAGAGAACCCCTAAAGGGACCAAAGGGGAGACAGGAGCCCCAAAAGGGACCCAAGGGGATGGGGGACCCCAAAAGGGACCCAAGAGAACCCCTAAAGGGAGCCAAGGGGAGACAGGAGCCCCAAAAGGGACCCAGGGGGATCAAGAGAACCCTGAAAGGGACCCAGGAAACCCCTAAAAAGGGGCATGGGGGGACCCCAGAAAGGACCCGAAGGGACCAAGGAGAACCCCAGAAGGGCCCTAGGGGGACCCCAAGGGGCTCACCCGAAGAGCCCGCGGGTATCGGCCACCACCAGTTTGATGCCGTGGCTGTGGCAGAAGTCCCCGACCCAGAGCTGCTCCTCCAGGGCTGAGTTGGTCAAAACCACGACCTATGGAGAGCCCCATGGCTGTGGGTCCGGCCCCATGGACCCCAGTCCGGCCCCATGGACCCCAGTCCGGCCCCATGGCCCCCAGTCCGGTCCCATGGCCCCCAGTTAGACCCCCTGGCTGTGGGTCCAGCCCCATGGCTGTGGGTCTGGCTCCGTGGCTGTTGGTCCAGCCCCATGGCCCCCAGTCCATCCCCATTGCTGTGGGTCCAGCCCCATGGCCCCCAGTCTGGCCCCATGGCTGTGTGTCCGGCCCCATGGCCCCCGGTCCAGCCCCATGGCTGTGGGTCTGGCCCCATGGCTGTGGGTCTGGCCCCATGGCTGTGGGTCCGGCTCCATGGCCCCCAGTCCAGCCCCATGGCTGTGGGTCCAGTCCCATGGCTGTGGGTCCGGCCCCATGGCCTCCAGCCCGGCCCCATGGCCCCCGGTCCGGCCCCATGGCCCCCGGTCCGGCCCCATGGCCCCCAGGCAGGGACACACAAATAGGAAGCCACTGGGGGGGTGAATCAGGGGTTATGGGGTACAGGCAGCCACGGAGATACAAGGGGATGCACAACTGCGGTGATGGACAGTAAATGGGATGGGGTACAGTCAGACACACAACAGTGTACGAGTACAGCCAGACACACACAACAGTGCATGGAAGCAGTCAGGCACAGGCACAACAGTGTATGGGTACAGTCAGACACACACACAACAGTGCATGGGTACAGTCGGACACAGACACGCATCAGTATATGGGTACTGCCAGACAGAGACACAGAAGGGTGTATGGGTACAGTCAGACACAGACACACAACAGTGTATGGGTACCACCAGACAGAGACACGCAACCGTGTACAGGTACAGTCAGATACAGATACATAACGGTGTATGGGTACAACTAGACACAGACACACAACAGTATATGGGTACAGACACATACCAGTATACATGTACAGTCACACACAGATACGTAACACTGTATGGGTACAGTCAGGCACACGGAGGTTCTAGGCCCACAAGGGGGGGTCCAGGCCCTCAAGGGGGGGGTCCAGGCCCTCAAGGGGGGGGTCCAGGCCCACAAGGGGGGGTCCAGGCCCTCAAGGAGGGGTCCAGGCCCTCAAGGGGGGGCTCCAGGCCCACCAGGGGGTACCTGGAAGGGCGCGAGCAGCTCCTGGCTCAGCGGCTCCCGGCTGCTGCTCACGGCCACGTAGGAGTTGAGCTCGGCCAAGCGCGGCAGCGTCGCCTCCGCCCGGTTCTGCCCCACGTCCTCCTCCCGCAGGTAGAACTGGGGAGAGGGGGGGGGGACACAATGGGGGGGGGTTAGGACCTGAGAACGGACCCGAAATACCCCCAAATACAGAGAAAATACCCCAAAATACCCCCAAATATCCCAAAATACCGACAAATAAGCCCAAAATACTCCCAAATACAGAGAAAATACCCCAAAATACCCCCAAATACCAACAAATACAGAGAAAACACCCCCAAATACCAACAAATAACCCCAAACCTCCCCCAAATACAGAGAATACCCTAAAATACCCCAAAACCACCCACAAATACAGAGAAAATACCCTGAAATATCCCAAAATACCAACATATAAGCCCCAAATACCCCCAAATCCAGAGAAAATACCTTGAAATACCCCAAAACGCTCCCCAAAACAGCGAAAATACCCCAAAATACTAATAAATAACCCCCAAATACAGAGAATACCCTAAAATACCCCCAAACACCACCAAAGACAAATACCCTAAAATACCCCAAAACACCCCCAAATACAGAGAAAATACCCTGAAATGCCCCAAAATACCAACAAATCCAGAGAAAATACCCCGAAATACCCCAAAATACCAACAAATAGAGAAAATACCCTGAAATACCCCCAAATACCAACAAATCCAGAGAAAATACCCTGAAACACCCCCAAATACCAACAAATAACCCCAAAATACCCCCAAATACAGAGAAAATACCCCAAAACACCCCCAAATAAAGAAAATACCCTGAAATACCGCAAAATACAGAAAAAAATACCCCAAAATACAGAGAAAATACCCCCAAACACTACCAAATCGGGACAAAATACCCTCAAATACCCCAAAATACCTACAAATAACCCCAAAATACATTAATACCAAATACCTGAAATACCCCAAAATACAGAAAAAAATACCCCCAAATACCCAGAAATAGTTATCTCCAAAATACCCCCGAATAGAGAAAATACCCCAAAATACCCCAAATACAGAGAAAATACCTCAAAACACCCCCAAATACAGAAAAAATACCCCAAACCACCCCCAAATATGGAGAAAATACCCCCAAATACCCAACAAGAACCCAAAAATACCCCCAAATACAAACTATCCCCAAACACCCCAATACAGAGAAAATAACCTAAAATACCCCCAAATACAGAGAAAATACCCCAAATTACTCCCAAATACAGAAAAGATAGCCCAAAATACCCACAAATTGATCCATTACACTGGGGGGGTGACAGCAACATTTAACCCCCCTTCATACACCCCCCCCAATTAATTTTATTAATTACACTAATTCCCCATGAATTAATTAATTACACTGGGGGGGCACTTATTACCCCAATAGCATCACCAAGGATTGATCCATTACACTGGGGGGGGGTGACAACAACATTTAACCCCCCCATATACACTAATTACACTGGGGGGGGCACTTAATACCCCAATAGCATCACCAAGGATTGACCCATTACACTGGGGGGGTGACAACAACATTTAACCCCCCCATATACACTAATTACACTGGGGGCACTTATTACCCCAATAGTATCACTAAGGATCGATACATTACGCTGGGGGGGGGGGGTGACAACATTTAACCCCCCCATATACACTAATTACACTGGGGGGGGCACTTATTACCCCAATAGCATCACTAAGGATTGATCCATTACCCTGGGGGGGTGACAACAACATTTAACCCCCCCATATACACTAATTACATTGGGGGGGCACTTATTACCCCAATAGCATCACCATGGATTGATCCATTACACTGGGGGGGGGGGGTGACAACAACATTTAACCCCCCCATATACACTAATTACACTGGGGGGGCACTTAATACCCCAATAGCATCACCAAGGATTGATCCATTACACTGGGGGGGATGACAACAACATTTAACCCCCCCATATACACTAATTACACTGGGGGGGGGCACTTATTACCCCAATAGCATCACCATGGATTGATCCATTACACTGGGGGGGATGACAACAACATTTAACCCCCCCATATACACTAATTACACTGGGGGGGCACTTAATACCCCAATAGCATCACCAAGGATTGACCCATTACACTCGGGGGGGTGACAACAACATTTAACCCCCCCATATACACTAATTACACTGGGGGGGGCACTTAACACCCCAATAGCAACACCATGGATTGATCCATTACACTGGGGGGGGGGTGACAACAACATTTAACCCCCCCATATACACTAATTACACTGGGGGGCACTTAATACCCCAATAGCATCACCATGGATTGTTCCATTACACTGCGGGGGGGGTGACAACAACATTTAACCCCCCATACACACCCCCCCCCATTAATGGGGTTCAATGGCCTCATAGAGGATGTGAAGGACAAAAGGGGGGGTTCAATGAAGGAGCTCACCTGGGAGGCCAGGTCTTGCCATGCAGTGGGGTGGGGGTCATGGAGGGTGACGGATTTGACCCCCCCCAGCACCAGGTTCTTGGCCACTTCCACCCCGAGGCCCCTGAGCCCCGATACCAGGACATTGGACGTCTGCATCCGCTTCATGGCCTCGTGGCCCAGCACGTACCTAAGGGGGGGGGAAACAGAGAAAAGGGGGGTTCAGGGCACCCCCAAACACTTCAGGGGTCCCCAAACCCTCAGGGGGAACCCCCCTAAAGGTGCCCCCAGGGACACTGTAATGGTTGGAAGGACCTAGGAGTCCCTGTATCCATAGGGATGGCTCTAATAGCCCCCCCCCACCCACCCCCAGAATATAAAGGGCCCCAAATCCATAGGGCTCTATCCATAGGGAAGCTCAAGAGCAGCCGAAATCCATAGGGATATCCCCAGATATCCTACGGACCCCCCCAAATCCATAGGAACACCCCCAGCCACCCGTAACGCACCCCCCAAATCTATAGGGATACCCCCAAACACCTATAGATCCCCCCCAAATCCATAGGGATACCATCAAGCACCTATGGAACCCCCCCAAATCCATAGGAACACCCCCAGCCATAACCAGCCCAATCCATAGGAACACCCCCAAATCCATAGGGGATATCCCCAAACACCTATAGAACCCCCAAATCCCAAGAAAGCCAGCCAATCCATAGGGATACCCCCAAACACCTCTATGGACCCCCAATCCATAGGAACACCCCCCAAATCTATAGGGATACCCCCAAGCACCTATGGAACCCCCCCAAATCCATAGGAACACCCCCCCAAATCCATAGGGATACCCCCAAGCACCTATGGACCCCCCCAAATCCATAGGAACACCCCCCCAAATCCATAGGAACACCCCCCCCAAATCCATAGGGATACCACAAGCACCTATGGAACCCCCCCAAATCCATAGGAACACCCCCCCCAAATCCATAGGGATACCCCCAAGCACCTACAGATCCCCCCCAAATCTATAAGGATACCCCCAAGCACCTATGGAACCCCCCCATATCCATAGGGCCCCCCCATACTCACAGCTGTCGGGAGTAGAGCCCCTCATCGATCTCGGCTTCGCCCCCGTTCTTCGCCATGCCCTGGGGGGGACAAGGGGACAATGGCATCAGATGGGGGGGACAATGGCATCAGATGGGGGGGACAATGGCATCAGATGGGGGGACAATGGCATCAGATGGGGGGGACAATAAGATGGGGGGACGATGGCATGGGTGGGACGGTGGCGTCAGATGGGGGGACAATGGCATCAGATGGGGGGACAATGGCATCAGATGGGGGGACAATGGCATCAGATGGGGGGGACAATGGCATCAGATGGGGGGACAATGGCATCAGATGGGGGGACAATGGCATCAGATGGGGGGCCAATGGCATCAGATGGGGGGGCCAATGGCATCAGATGGGGGGCCAATGGCATCAGATGGGGGGCCAATGGCATCAGATGGGGGGGGCGGTGTCATGAGAGGGGGGGATGTGGCATTAGATGGGGGACGTTGGCATCAGATGGGGGGACAATGGCATCAGATGGGGGAACAATGGCATCAGGTGGGGGGAACAATGGCATCAGGTGGGGGGGACAATGGCATCAGGTGGGGGGGGACCCATTGGGGGACATGATGGGGGGGGAGAGGGGGCCCATGGGTGCCACTGGGTGCACCCAATGACACTGGGGGTGCTGTGACCCCATGGGAAGATGTGGGATGTGACAATGGGGGGGGGCTCTGAGCACTATGTGGGGGACACACAATGGGGACACCCCCAGATGCCCCCTCCACCAATGGGGCTCTGAGCAGTGTAAAGGGGGCAGGACCACAGGGGTTGATGAGTGATGCTGAGCCCCATAGCAACCATAGGGCCCACCCATGCGGACACCCCCATAGGGGTCTATGGGCACCCATAGGGGTGTCAGGGGGTGATGGGGGACACTCACGTTGGTGGGGGTGGCGCTGGGGGACACGCTGGGGACAGGGGCACGGCTGGAGCCCGTCGGTGGCTCAGACCCGGACACCCCCATAGAGGTCTATGGGCACCCATAGGGGTGTCAGGGGGTGATGGGGGGACACTCACGTTGGTGGGGGTGGCGCTGGGGGACACGCTGGGGACAGGGGCACGGCTGGAGCCCGTCGGTGGCTCAGACCCGGACACCCCCATAGGGGTCTATGGGCACCCATAGGGGTGTCAGGGGGTGATGGGGGGACACTCACGTTGGTGGGGGTGGCGCTGGGGGACACACTGGGGACAGGGGCACGGCTGGAGCCCGTCGGTGGCTCAGACCCGGAGATGCGGCGCTTCTTGGACAGCGGGGAGCTGGACATCTATGGGAGAGGGGAGCAGAGCACCTATGGAGCCCTATGGAGCCCTATGGAGCCCTATGGCCATAGGGACACCCACGAGCACCTATGGAGCCCTATGGAGCCCTATGGCCATAGGGACCAACACGAGCACCTATGGAGCCCTATGGAGCCTCTATGGAGCCCTATGGCCATAGGGACCCACACGAGCACCTATGGAGCCCTATGGAGCCCCTATGGAGCCCTATGGCCATAGGGACACCCACGAGCACCTATGGAGCCCTATGGAGCCTCTATGGAGCCCTATGGCCATAGGGACACCCACGAGCACCTATGGAGCCCTATGGCCATAGGGACCCACACGAGCACCTATGGAGCCCTATGGAGCCCTATGGAGCCTCTATGGAGCCTCTATGGAGCCCTATGGCCATAGGGACCAACACGAGCACCTATGGAGCCCTATGGAGCCTCTATGGACCCATACGGCCATAAGGACCCACACGAGCCCCTATGGAGCCCCTATGGCCATAGAGACGCCCCCGAGCACCTATGGAGCCCTATGGAGCCCCTATGGATCCCTATGGCCATAGGGACCCACACGAGCACCTATGGAGCCCCTATAGTCATAGGGACACCCACGAGCACCTATGGATCCTTTATCGCCATAGGGACACCCCCAAGTACCTATGGATCCCCTATGGCCATAGGGACCCAAACGAGCACCTATGGAGCCCTATGGCCATAGGGACACCCACGAGCACCTATGGAGCCCCTATGGCCATAGGGGCCCCATGAGATCTTATGGAGCCCCAAGGCCATGGGACACCCCCGAGTATGGAGCCCTATGGCCATAGGGACCCACGAGACCTGGGGACCTATGGCCATGGGACACCCACGAGCACCTATGGAGCCCTATGGCCATAGGGACACCCACGAGCACCTATGGAGCCCGTATGGCTGTAGGGACCAACACAAGCACCTAGAAAGCCCCTATGGCCATAGGGACACACACAAGTACCTATGGAGCCCTATGGCCATAGGGACACCCACGAGCACCTATGGAGCCCGTATGGCTGTAGGGACCAACACAAGCACCTAGAAAGCCCCTATGGCCATAGGGACACACACAAGTACCTATGGAGCCCCTATGGCCATAGGGACGCCCACGAGCACCTATGGAGCCCCTAAGGCCATAGGGACACCCACGAGCACCTATGGAGACCCTATGGCCTTAGGGACACCCCCGAGCACCTATGGAGCCCTGTATCAAGAGGAACACCCCGAAGTACCTATGGATCCCCTATAGCCATAGAAACACCCATGGGCACCTATGGAGCCCCCCTTATCCATAGGAACACCCCCAAGCACCTAAGGAACTACCCCCAAATCCATAGACTCCCACAAGCACCTATGGATCCCCCTTATCTATAGGGACGTCCACAAGCACCTATGAGAGCATCCCAAACCCATACAGTCACCCATAAGCACCTATAGAACCGTCCCCAAATCCAGTGGGACACCCATAAGCACCTATTGATCCCACTCCAAATCTATAGGGACCCCCCCAAAACACATATGGAATTATCCCTATATCCATAGGGACACCCATAAGCACCCATGCAACTGTCCCAAACCCCTAGGGACACCCATAAGCACCTATGGACCCCCCATATCCATAGGGACACCCATAAGCACCTATAGAACCATCCCCAAATCCATTGGGACATCCATAAGCACCTATTGATCCCCCTCCAAATCTATAGGGAGCCCCCCAAAGCACATATGGAATTAACCCTATAGCTATAGCGACACCCATAAGCACCCATGGAACTGTCCCAAATCCATAGGAACACCCACAAGCACCTATGGACCCCCCATATCCATTGGAACACTCAAAAGCACCTATGGACCCCCCATACCTATAGGGACACCCATAAGGGCCTATGGAACCCCCATATCCATAGGGACACCCATAAGCACCTATGGACCCCCCATACCCATAGGGACACCCATAAGCACCTATGGACCCCCCATACCCATAGGGACACCCATAAGCACCTATGGACCCCCCATACCCATAGGGACACCCATAAGCACCTATGGAACCACCATATCCATAGGAACACCCATAAGCACCTATGGACCCCCCATACCCATAGGAACACCCATAAGCGCCTATGGACCCCCCACATCCACAGGGACACCTATAAGCACCTATGGACCCCCCATACCTATAGGGACACTCAGAAGCACCTATGGACCCCCAAATCCATAGGAACACCCCCAAGCACCTATGGACCCCCCATATCCACAGGGACACCCATAAGGATTTATGGCCCCCCTATATCCATAGGAACATCCATTAGCACCTATGGAATCCCCCCCCGAAATCCATAGGGACACCCACAAGCACCTATGGAGCCCCCCCCCCATATCCACAGGGACCCCCCCCATGGGGGGTGCCACACACAACCTTCCCCCCCCCCCCAAACCCGAACCTGGGGCGGGTCTTTCCGATCCCTTCTCATTAACGGGGGAGGAGTTCCCATTAACGAGGCTCCCATTAAGGCCTCCCCATTACCGGTAATGAACTCCATGGGGGGGGGGGGGGTTGGGAGTTCCGATTCCCACTCCCATTCACCGCAATGGGCCCAAACCGGAGGAGGGGGGTGTTTCACCCCATTGATCCCATTACCGAGGTCCCCAAGCCCCCCCCCCAATCACCTCACCTCAGGCCTCCCTCAGGCGGCTCCGCACCACCCGAGGCCGGGTTCGCATTAACCGGGTCCGGATCCTTCCCCCCCAAAAACCCCCATACCCGGAGCTCCCCCCCTTCCTCCCCGGTCCCCCCCACCCCCCGGTCCCGTTCCCCCCGCACCAATGATGCTGTCCAGGCCCCGCCGCCGGGTCCCGCCCGCTCCGCTCGGCTCCTCCGCGACAAGATGGCGGCGGCGACGGCTTCCCCCCCGCCGCCTCCTCCCTCCTCGCCCTTCGCCCCTCCCACCGACCCTTCCTATTGGTCTGCGTCTCCGGGAGCCGCGTTCCTATTGGTTGCTTGCCTCCCGCCACCGCCCGCCTTCCACCCCGCAACAGGGAGGGATGAGGAAGAAGACGGGAGGGGAGGGGGGGCGCGGCCGGGCTGGCCACGCCCCCTTCCTCCTGGAGGGACCCGGATGGAGGAGGCCACGCCCACCCACCCTCCCCGCGCGTGACGTGGGCGGAGCTTCGTGACACAGCACCGCACGCTGGGGGGGGCGGTCTATAGCTGCCCATAGGAGCCTATAGAATATCTATAGGGGGCTATGGATGTATACAGCGGGTTATGGAAGCCTATGGGAGCCCATAGGGTGCCTATGGGGAGGGTATAGGAGCTTGCAAGGGGCTACGGGTGGGCTACATGAGCCTATGGGTAACTATAGGAGCCTATAGGGTGCCTATGGGGATGATACAGGAATCTATTGCGGTCTTTACTAGGCCTTAGTAGTCCATAGGAGCTTCTAGGGGGATATAGAGTCCTATAGCAGCCCATGGGAGCCAATAGGGTGCTGATGGGGGCCTATAGTGTGTTATGGAGGGGCTATAGGAGGCTATGACAGCCCATAGGCTGCCTATAGGAGCATGGAGAGAGCCATAGAGGACAATGAGGGAGGCTATAGGGGCCTGTTGGGGCCTATAGCAGGATGGGGGGGGGATATAGGAAGCTCTGGGGCTCTATAATGGACTCTAAGGGGCTATGGGTGGCTACAAGTGGCTGTGGGCTATGGGGACATATAGGGGCCTATAGGTAGCCAGGAGGGGTATAGGTAGCCAGGAGGGGTAGAGGCTTGTGAGGGACCTGAGGAGCATATAGGGGACTTATGGGGCTGAGACAGACACTATAGCAGCCTATGGGGGGGATATAGGGGAAGCCTATGGGGGCCCAGCAGGGAGTTATAGAGGGCCAGGAGGGCCCTATAGGTGCCCAAATAGAGGTTATGGGGTCTACAGGTGGACTATAGGAATCTATGGGGTACTATAGGTGCCCAATACAAACTTGGCGGGGGGGGGTATTCAGGGACCCTATGGGGTCTGGCAGGGGGCTATAGGGACCCATGTGAGGTTTTATGGGGGCTGACAGAGGGGTCAGGACGCTCCAAAGGGAGAGGGGGTCTTGTGGGCTATAGGGGCTAAAGGCACATATAAGGACTATAGACACGTATACGGGTTATGGACATCTATAGGGGCTATTGGCATGTATAAGGACTATGGACCTGTATAGGGGCTACAGACATCTATAGGGACTATTGGCATGTATAGGGCCTATGCACATGTATAGGGGCTATGGACATGTGTAGGGGCTATGGACATCTATAGGGGCTAGACACACGTATAGGGGCTATGCACAGCTATAGGGGCTATTGGCATGTATAGGGGCTATGAACACGTAGAAGAGCTATGAACACGTACAGACGCTATAAACATGTGTAGAAACTACAGACATCTATAGGGACTATGGACACCTATAGGGGCTATGGACGCCTGTAGGGGCTATAGAAACGTATAGGGGCAATTGGCATGTATAGGGGCTATGGACAACTATAGGGGCTATGAACGTGTAGAAGAACTATTAACATGTACAGAGATTATAAACATGTATAGAGGATACAAGCACGTATAGGGACTATGGACACCTATAGGAGCTATGGACATGTATAGGGGCTATGGACGCCTATAGACAGCTATGGGGGGGGCGCTTTATGCGACCCAGTGAAGCGCCATAGTCCCCAGGCCCCCCCAGCACCACGTGCTGTCGCCAGCTGATGACATCACCGCGCCGCAAGGCCTCCTGGGAGTTGTAGTCCAACAGCCCTGCCACCAATACCCCCCCACCAATAAAGGGGTCACGGGGTCAGGCCGAGCCCCTTCCCTTTATTAACAGCCCCATATTGGGGGGTGAGCCTATAGGGAACCCCATAGGGTTCTATAGGGACCCCAAAGTGGGGGGGGTCACTCGGGGGGGGGCAGGGTGAGGCGCGCGGGGTCGTAGTAGTTGGGGTCCACCAGGGGGAGCCCCCGGCGCTCCCGCTCCACGATCTGGATCTCGGCCTCCCGCCGGGCCCATTGCTGCAGCCTATAGGGGAAGAGAGGGGCAGGGTCAATGGTGAGCCCTATAGACCCCTATAGAGCCTCTAAATGCATTTATACCCCATTATCCAGTGTTATATGTGTGTATGTACTGCTATAGACCCCCATGTGCTCCCTAGGGACCTCCTATAGGAACCTATAGACCCCTATAGAGCCTCTAAACGCATTTATACCCCATTATCCAGTGTTACATGCATGTATGTATTGCTATAGACTCCTATATGCTCCCTAGGGACCTCCTATAGGACCCTATAGACCCCTATAGAGCCTCTAAATGCGTTTATACCCCATTATCTAGTGTTATATGGGTGTATGTACTGCTATAGACCCCTATATGCTCCCTAGGGACCTCCTATGGACCCTATAGAATCCCCCTCCACTCTATTCTATTTTACCATGAATCTCTATATATAGTCTATATAAATTCTACAGTGATCTACTACTACTGATAACCCTATATGAGCCCCATCAAGCCCTTAAACCCCACTATAGCTCCCTATAGAAACCCTATTGCCCCCCCCAGGCCCCCATACACCCCCATAGACCCCCATAGACCCCCTATACACCCCCATAGACCCCCCATAGAGCCCCATAGACCCTCTATAGACCCCTATACACCCCCATGACCCCCTATACACCCCTATACACCCCCATAGACCTTCTATAGACCCCTATACACCCCCATAGACCCCCATAGACCCCCATAGACCCCCTATAACCCCTATAGACCCCCATAGACCCCCTATAGACCCCCTATAACCCCCATAGACCCCCTATAACCCCCATAGACCCCTATAGACCCCTATAACCCCCTATAGACCCCTATAGACCCCCTATACACCCCCATAGACCCCCTATACACCCCCATAGACCCCCTATACACCCCTATACACCCCCATAGACCACTATACCCCCCCATAGACCCCTATACTCCCCCATAGACCCCCTATACACCCCCATAGACCCCCTATACACCCCTATAGACCCCTTACAGACCCCTATAGACCCCCTATACACCCCCATAGACCCCCTATACACCCCCATAGACCCCCATACATGCCCCATAGATCCCCATAGCCCCCCATATCTCCCCATCCCCCCCCAGCACTCACCCATAGTCGGGCAGGTAATGCAGGAAGGTGGAGCCCAGGACGATGGCGATGGAGACGCCGGCGAAGAAGACGGCGCGCATGTTGTGGACATCGGCCACCGGGTCCGCTGAGAAGCCGTGGTAGTCGGGGTTCTGCCGCGCCGCACGTGGGGACACACAGGGACACATAGGGACACATGGGGACACATAGGGACCCATAGGGACACATAGCCACCCCATAGGGACTCATAGGGACCCATAGGGACCCATAGCTGCCCCATAGGGACCCATAGCCGCCCCATAGGGACCCATAGACGCCCCATAGGGACCCATAGATGCCCCATAGGGACCCATAGATGCCCCATAGGGACCCATAGACACCCCATAGGGACCCATAGACGCCCCATAGGGATCCATAGCCGCCCCATAGGGACACATACCCAACCCATAGGGACCAGTGCACCCCATAGAGACCCATATCCACCTCATAGAGACCAGTGCACCCCATAGGGACCCATATCCACCCCATAGGAAGCAATGCACCCCATAGAGACCCATATCCACCTCATAGAGACCAGTGCACCCCCTAGGGACCCATATCCACCCCATAGGGACCCAATGCACCCATAGGGATCCAGTATACCCCTACGGAGCAATACACCCCATAGGAACCCATATACAACCCATAGAGACCCCAATGCACCCCAGAGGGACCCATATCCACCCTATAGGGACCCTAATACCCTCCATAGAGACCCAAACACCCCCCCCCAGAGGCCCTTTTCCCTCCATAACCAGCCCTAGGCCACGACCCCTGACCCCAAGGCCACGCCCACAACCACAACCACCAATCAGAACGTAGCTCCTGCTAAGCCATGCCCCTGAGGAAGGGGGCACGCCCACATTTGGCTCCACCCTATAGAAGGCCACAGCCCCTTACAACCACCAATCAGAACATGGCTTCTGCTAATCCCCGCCCCGAATGATGAAGTCACGCCCCCGAACATTGGCTCCACCCCCAGAGGCCACACCCCCCACTTCACAAACACCAATCAGAGCCTGGATCCTGCTAATCCCCCGCCCCAACGCTGTGACCACGCCCCCGGCGTTGGCACCCTCCCAACGAGAGGCCACGCCCCCACCTTACATTCACCAATCAGAGCCTCGCTCTGCAAAGCCCCGCCTGAACTGATGCAACCACGCCCCCAAGCCGTGACCCCGCCCCCTCACCAGAGCCCCCGCCCACCTCCATAAGCCCCGCCCCAATAGTGTACCCCATCCCCCGAAGCCCCGCCGCTTTCCAAGCCCCGCCCACCATCCTCTGCGCCACCGCCATTGGCTCCTCCTCGTGCACGTCAGCTCCCAGCGGCCCCCGCGGCAGCGCCACGGCCCCGGGGACCCCGGCCGAGCGGCCCCGCGCCCCGGCCTGCAGCGCCCGCAGCGTCCTCCGCAGCGCCGCCATCTTCCCGGCGGAAGTCCCGCCCCGTCGCCTCCGTTAAATCAATGAGCGCAGCCGCCGCCCTCTTCACCAATCACGAGAGAGCGCTCAGATGGATCCGCCTCCTCGCTCCCGCGTAGCCAATCATAAGCCGTCTCCGTCCACCCTCCCCCTTCTGGCTCCTCCCATGCAAGCCGCAGCCAATCAGAAGCCAAAGCGGCAACGCTCCCTCTCTCCCCCTCATTCGTCCCGCCTCCTCCCCAGCGAGAACCAATGAGAAGCGCGGATACGCTGATGGGTGGGCAGATGGACCAATGGGAGAGCGCCAGGGGCGGGCAGGGGGAGCGGGGCGGGCCGGGCGCGGAGCGGCGCCGCCATTTTGCTGGTCGGGAGCGGCGGCGGCGGCGGCCGCGCTGAGCGGAGAGGTCGGGGCCTACCGGGAAAGGCGGGGCGTACCGGGAGGGGCGGGGCCTACCGGGAGGGGCGGGGCTTTACCGGGAGGAGCGGGGCTCAGCCCGGAGAGTCCCTCTCCGCGGTCGCTGATTGGGTAGAAGGGGATGAGGGGGCGTGGCCCGGCGCTGTAGCCCGGCGGGGGGGCGGGGGCGTGGTTACGTATGCTAATGACGGGCGGGGTATGGCGGGCGTTTCTCCTGGGGACACGTGGCTCCCTGTTCCTCCCAGTCACCCCATAGGGACCCCATAGGCCCCCCCATTCATCCCAGCCATTCTCAGTAGACCCCCCTGTTATCTCCGTCCCAGTGCCCCCCAGTTGGTCCCAGTTACCCCCCAGTCCCCTCTGGCGCCTTCCCCATTCGTCCCAGTGCCCCCCAATAACCCCTAACCCCCCCCATTCCCTCTTCCCCCCTCCCCAGGTGCCAGCACCATGGAGTACGAACGCAGGTAGGGGGGACCCCAAATCTTGGACCCTTTTGGGGGGGGATTGGGGACCCCCAAAGTTGTGTGGGGAAACCCATGGGGGGAGAAAGGAGACATTTGGGGGGGGTCCTATGGGGGGGAAATGGGGATTTGGAACCCCTATAGTGGGTGGGGGGGGACATTGGGAGACCCCTAAGAAGGAGGCTGCACCCATTGGGGTTGCCCATGGGGAGCCCCCCCATAGGTGACTCTATGGGTATCCCCCCAAGGTGGTGGTGGTGGGGGGGAACAGTTGGGACCCCCCCTTGATCTCATCTCCCACAGAGGCGGCCGTGGCGACCGCACCGGCCGCTATGGGGGGGCCCCATCCTCTTCTGAGGAAGGCTCCCGCACCCAACGGGACCACGACTATCGCGACATGGATTATCGCGGCTACGGGGGTCCCCCCGAGGGGCCCTCCACATCCGGGTCCTCCTCTCAGGTGGGTACCACCATTGATGCCCCCCCTATGGACCATTACACCCCCCCCACCCCCAAATAATGCCCTGATCCCCACTTCCAGGCCTACGAGGGCTCCTCCGAGCCCCCCCGGAAGCGGGACCCCCCCCCGGCGCTGCCCTTCGGTGCCGATGGTGATTACCGGGACCAGGATTACCGGCCCGAGGCGGCCGAGGAGGAGCCGCGCGCCAGCACCATCGTCATGCTGCGCATGCTGCCCCAGGCCGCCACCGAGAACGACGTAAGCCACGCCCCCTCCCTAAGCCCCGCCTCCTTTTTGAGGCCCTTTAAATCCCCCCCTTCAATAGGGTTGGAGGGGATTGGCCACGCCTCCTTTGAGGAGGCCACGCCCCCTGCGTGAGGCACACTTGCGTGGTCACGCCCCCTTCAGCGAAGCCGCGCCCCCACCACGGTAGCCTCGCCCTATTGGCTAAGTGGTGTCCTTATGTGGCTAAGCCACGCCCCCACATGCCGTACCCCCCCCCTTCGCTAAGCCACATCCCATTGGCTAAGCGATGTCCTTATTTGGCTAAGCCACGCCCCCATTTGCCATAGCCACCCCTCCGCCCCTTCGCTAAGCCCCGCCTCCATCAGGGTAGCCATGCCCCATTGACTAAACGATGACTTCATTTAGCTAAGCCACGCCCCCACCTGCCTTACCCGTGCCCCCTTTGATAAGCCAGGCTCGACCCCAGTGTGACCTCTCCCTCATTAGCATAAACCACGCCCACTTTCTGTCTACCCACACCGCCTTCAATGAGCCGTGTCTGCTATAGCGCAGCCATGCTCCCTCTCTGTGACCACGCCCTTTTTCATAGGCCACGCCTCCTCAGGGCACTTCCATTACTTTCAATAGAGGGAGCGAGTGGGGGTGTCCCCAATACCAGGTTCCCCCCCAGTATCAAAGTCCCCCCTGCATTAATGAGGTGTTCCCCCCCATTACTGAGGTCCCCCCATTATCGAGCTCCCCCCCATTACCGAGCTCCCCCCATTACTGGGGTCCCCCCACATTACTGGGGTCCCCCCCATTACCGGGTCCCCACCTTCACCCTCTGCCCCCCCAGATCCGGGCGCAGCTGCAGGCGCAGGGGGTGCAGCCCCGCGAGGTTCGGTTGATGCGGAACAAGTCCTCAGGTGAGCCCTGCCCCCCCGGGTGCTGTTGGGTGGGGGTGGGGGGGCACCCATAAATGGGGGAGGGGCACCCATGAACATGAGTGCTTTATGGGGGGGGGCACCCAGCAGCCACCTGCTTCCCTTGGGGTGGAGGGGGGGGGTCCTGCTTTACATTGGGGGGCACCCACAGTGGCTGATCCCGTCCCATGGGGCATATAAGGGTGCTGGTTCCATCTCTAGGAGCACCCAGGGGTGCTGCATTAAACATAGGGGGCACCCAGGGGTGTCTGTTCCAATCTTAGGGGCACCCAGGGGTGCTGTATTAAGCATAGGGGGCACCCAGGGGTGTCTGTTCCCACCTTAGGGGGCACCCAAGGGTACTGCATTAAACTTAGGGGGCACCCAGGGGTGCTGATCCCATCTCTAGGAGCACCCAGGGGTGCTGATCCCATCTATAGGAGCACCCAGGGGTGCTGATCCCATCTATAGGAGCACCCAGGGGTGCTGATCCCACCTTAGGGAGCACCCAAGGGTGCTGATCCCATCTTCAGGAGCACCCAGGGGTGCTGATCCCATCCCCAGGAGCACCCAGGGGTGCTGATCCCGTCTATAGGAGCACCCAGGGGTGTCTGTTCCCACCTTAGGGGGCACCCAGGGGTGCCCATTCTCTGCCCAGGGGCACCCAGGGGTGCTGATCCCATCTCGAGGAGCACCCAGGGGTGCTGGTCCCGTCCCATGGGGCACCCAGGGGTGCCGGTCTTGTCCCTAGAGAGCACCCAGGGGTGCTGGGCTGGACTTGGGGGGGCACCCAGGGGTGCCCATCCCATCTCTAGGAGCACCCAGGGGTGCTGGTCCCCTCCCTAGGAGCACCCAGGGGTGCCCATCCCCTCCCTAGGAGCACCCAGGGGTGCTGGAGACCTTCCCAGGAGCACCCAGGGGTGCTGAGGCACAGAGAGGGGGCACCCAGGGGTGCCCACCCCCCCCACCCAGGAGCACCCAGGGGTGCTGAGCCATAGCCAAGGGGCACCCAGGGGTGCCGGAGCCTTCCCCAGGAGCACCCAGGGGTGCTGATCCCATCCCTAGGGGCACCCAGGGGTGCCAGAGCCTTCTCCAGGAGCACCCAGGGGTGCTGGTCTTGGTCCCAGGAGCACCCAGGGGTGCTGAGGCATATCTGGGGGCACCCAGGGGTGCCCGTGTCCTACCTAGAGGGTCCCAGAGGCATCTATAGGAGCTCAGAAGGGGTCCCATAGGGGTTTGAGGAGCACCCATAGGTGCCCATGGGGGGCGCAGAAAGGTTCCAGGAGCACCCATGGGTGCCCATTGAGAGCAATGCCAGGAGCACCCATGGGTGCCCATTGAGAGCAATGCCAGGAGCACCCATGGGTGCCATTGAGAGCAGTGCCAGGAGCACCCACGGGTGCCCATTGAGAGCAATGCCAGGAGCACCCATGGGTGCCCATTGAGAGCAATGCCAGGAGCACCCATTCCCAACCAAGGGGGTTCCCAGGGGCACCCATACCCGGGGGGGGGAGGGGGGGGCACCCATGGGTGCTGTCCCTGACCCCCCCCGGCTCCGTTCCAGGTCAGAGCCGCGGCTTCGCCTTCGTGGAGTTTCACCACGTCCAGGACGCCGCGCGGTGGATGGACGCCAACCAGGTCCTTGCGCGGCACCCGCGTGGCACCGTCACGTGACACCGTCATGTGACACCCCCATGGGACACTGACATGTGACGCCATCACGTGACACCCCCTTTGGACACTGACATGTGACACTATCACGTGACAGCCCCATGTGGCACCGTCACGTGACACCCACATGTGACACTGGCATGTGACATTGACATGTGACACCATCACGTGATACCCCCATGGGACACTGACATGTGGCACTGTCACGTGACACCCTCATGGGACACTGATGTGGCACTGTCACATGACACTCTCATGGGACACTGACATATGGCACTGTCATGTGGCATGTACATGTGACATTGACATGTGACACCATCACGTGACACCCTCATGGGACACTGATGTGGCACCGTCACGTGACGCTCTCATGGGACACTGACATATGGCACTGTCATGTGACACGTACATGTGACATTGACATGTGACACCATCACGTGACACCCTCATGGGACACTGATGAGGCACTGTCACTGACGCTCTCATGGGACACTGACATGTGGCACTGTCATGTGACACGTACATGTGACACCGACATGTGACACCATCATGTGACACCCTCATGGGACACTGATGTGGCACTGTCACTGACGCTCTCATGGGACACTGACATGTGGCACTGTCACGTGACACCCACATGTGACACTGGCATGTGACATTGATATGTGACACCATCACGTGACGCCCTCATGGGACACTGACATATGGCACCGTCACGTGACACCCACATGTGACACTGGCATGTGACATTGATATGTGACACCATCACATGACGCCCTCATGGGACACTGACATATTGCACCATCACGTGACACCCACATGTGACATTGACATGTGGCACCGTCACGTGACACCCTCATGTTGTGAGGATGGAGGGCACAGACCCAGAGGTGGGAATGCTGCACATCATGTGACACGTGACACTGTCATGTGACAGCCCCCATGTGACACTGTCATGTGACAGCACCCATGTGATGCTGTCATGTGGCACTCTCACATGACACACGTGACACCCACATGTGGCACCCTCATGTGATGTCATGTGATATCTGCATGTGACATAGTCGTGTGACATCGTCATGTGACACCCATGTGGGACACTCTCACGTGACACCCACACATGACACTGTCTTGTTGCACCGTCATGTGACACTCACGTGACACCTACATGTGACACTCTCACACTACGCCCACTTGTGACACCCACATCTGACGCTGTCATGTGACACTCTCATGTGACACGTGACACCTTCACGTGACACCCACCTGCAAGGGTTTAGGGGGGAGCCCCTTGTGTGAGGCCATTGGGTGCCCTTGGGTGACACACTCACATGACACTGTCATGTGACACCCACATGTGAAACGGTCACATGACCCTGTCACGTGACACTCGCCTGCAAGGGCCATGGGGGGATCCCTTGGTCAGAGCCTCCCATGGGCCCTGGTGCAAGGCCCCAGCTCAGCCCCATTGGGAGCCCCCATAGGGAGGTCACGTGACCCCAGTGCCCCCCATGCATGCCATGGGGCAGCCCCACAGTGAACCCCAATGGCAGCCCCATAGTGAACCCCGGTGCTCTCAATGGCAGCCCCATAGCGAACCCTGGTGCTCTCAATGGCAGCCCCATAGCGAACCCCGGTGCTCTCAACGGCAGCCCCATAGTGAACGCCAATGGCAGCCCCATAGCGAACCCTGGTGCTCTCAATGGCAACCCCATAGTGAACGCCAATGGCAGCCCCATAGCGAACCCTGGTGCTCTCAATGGCAACCCCATAGCGAACCCCAATGGCAGCCCCATAGCAAACCCCATTGCTCTCAATGGCAGCCCCATAGCGACCCCTGGTGCTCTCAATGGCAGCCCCACAGTGAACCCCAATGGCAGCCCCATAGCGAACCCCAATGGCAGCCCCATAGCGAACCCCGGTGCTCTCAATGGCAGCCCCATAGCGACCCCTGGTGCTCTCAATGGCAGCCCCATAGCGAACCCCGGTGCTCTCAATGACAGCCCCATAGCGAACCCCATTGCTCTCAATGGCAGCCCCATAGCGAACCCCGGTGCCAGCCCCATAGCGAACCCCAATGGCAGCCCCATAGCAAACCCCGATGCTCTCAATGGCAGCCCCATAGCGAACCCCGGTGCTCTCAATGGCAGCCCCATAGTGAACCCTGGTGCTCTCAATGGCAGCCCCATAGCGAAGCCCAATGGCAGCCCCATAGCAAACCCCATTGCTCTCAATGGCAGCCCCATAGCGAACCCCAATGGCAGCCCCATAGCAAACCCCATTGGTCTCAATGGCAGCCCCATAGCCCCGTCCTCTCCTGCTCTGGGTCTGTGTGGGGCTGAGCCCCATAGCTCACCCCACACCCCCCCCACAGCAAGGGCTGAGCCTGCTGGGGCACCGCGTGTCCCTGCACTACAGCGACCCCAAGCCCAAGATCAATGAGGACTGGCTCTGCGCTAAGGTGGGGGGGTCTATGGGGGACTATGGGGGGATTATGGGGGGCTATGGGGGTCTTAGACGGGTCTATGGGGGGCTTAGACGGGTCTATGGGGAGTTATGGGGAGCTATGGGGGGATTATGGGGGTCTATAGGGGGGCTATGTGGGTCTTAGAGGGGTCTATGGGGGTCTTAGAGGGGTCTATGGGGGATTATGGGGTCTATGGGGGGATTAGGGGGGTCTTAGAGGGGTCTATGGGGGAATGATGGGGGATTATGGGGGTTTTAGAGGGGTCTATGGGGGGATTATGGCGGTCTATGGGGGGATTATGGGGGTTTTAGAGGGGTCTATGGGGGGATTATGGGGGTCTTAGAGGGGTCTATGGGGGGTTATGGGGGTCTTAGAGGGGTCTATGGGGGTCTTAAGGGGGTCTATGGGGGTCCTAGGGGGGTCTATGGGGGATTATGGGGGTCTTAGAGGGGTCTATGGGGGGTTATGGGGGTCTTAGAGGGGTCTATGGGGTGCTATGGGGGTCTATGGGGGTCTTAGAGGGCCTATGGGGGTCTTAGAGGGGTCTGTGGGGGTGTTAGAGGGGTCTATGGGGTTATGGGGGTCTTGGATGTGTCTATGGGGGGGCTATGGGGGTCTTAGAGGGGTCTATGGGGGTCTTAGAGGGGTCTATGGGGGGCTATGGGGATCTTAGAGGGGTCTATGGGGGGTTATGGGGGTCTTGGATGTGTTTATGTGGGTCTGGGGGGGTTATGGGGATCCTTGGGGCATCCTAATGTGGGTCTATGGGAGCCCTGGGGGGCCCTAAGGGGGCTTGGGGGGAGGTGTTAAGGGGGTGCATTGGGGTGTGCATTGGAGGCTATTGGGTGCTATGGGGTGCATTGGGGGCTATTGGGTGCTATGGGGGGGTGCATTGGAGGCTATTGGGTGCTATGGGGGGTCTTTGGGGGTCCCATAGTGTGGGGTGCAGAACTTCAAGCGCCGGGAGAAGTGCTTCAAGTGCGGGGTGCCCAAAACTGGTGAGTTACCGAAAACCCCCTGATTTCATCCCAAAATCCCTGATTTCACTCCAAAAACACTGATTTTACCCAAAAAACCCACTGATTTTACCCCAGAACCCCCTGATTTCACCCCAAAATCCCTGATTTCACTCCAAAAACACCGACTTTACCCAAAAAACACTGATTTCACCCCAAAACACTGATTTCAGCCCCAACCCCCCGATTTCAACCCCAAACCCCTTGATTTCACCCCCCAAAACACTGATTTCACCCCAAAACCCCTTGATTTTATCCCCAAAACCCCTGATTTCAGCCCAAAACCTCTTCAGACCCCTGATTTTGGGATGAAATCACCCAATTTGGGGATGAAAAACACTGATTTGGAGGTTAAAATCCCTGATTTTGGTGTGAAACCACCCAATTTTGGGGTGGAAAATCCCGATTTTGGGGTGAAAAAGCCGATTTTGGGGAGAAACCACCTAATTTTGGGTTTAAAAATGCCGATTTTGGGGTGAACCTCCCCGATTTTGGGGTGAAACCACCCAATTTTGGTGTAAACCCCCCCTATTTTGGGGTGAAACCCCCGATTTTAGGGTGAAAACCCCCGATTTTGGGGTGAAACCACCCAATTTGGGGTGAAAAAACTCAATTTTGGGGTGAACCCCCCCAATTTTGGGGTGAAAACCCCCATTTTTGGGGGTTCTGCCTCTAACATGGGGGGTTTCAATGTCCTTTTGGGGTGCAGAAGGAGAACAGCGGGGCCCGGGGGGGCCACGAGCGGAGCTGGGGCCTGGAGGAGGGGGGGGGCTGCTGCCCCTCCCCCAACCCTATGGGCCTGCAATGGGGGGGACCCCCGGGGGGGGCTCCCATGGGGGGACCGAGCCTGGAGCTGACAACGCCAATGACAGTGAGTGGGGGAGGGGCTGGGGGGGGTTATGGGGGGGTCATGTGCCTATGGGGGGGTTATGGGTGCCTAAGGGGGGGTTATGGGTGCTCAAGGGGGGGTTATGGGTGCTATGGGGGGGTTATGGGTGCCCAAGGGGGGTTATGGGTGCACAAGGGGGGGTTATGGGTGCTCAAGGGGGGGTTATGGGTGCCTATGGGGGGGTTATGGGTGCTCAAGGGGGGGTTATGGGTGCCTATGGGGGGGTTATGGGTGCTCAAGGGGAGGTTATGGGTGCTCAAGGGGGGTTATGGGTGCCCAGGGGGTTATGGGTGCCTAAGGGGGTTATGGGTGTCTATGGGGGGGTTATGGGTGATCAAGGGGGGGTTATGGGTGTCTATGGGGGGGTTATGGGTGCCCAAGGGGGGGTTATGGGTGCCTAAGGGGGGGGTTATGGGTGCTCAAGGGGGGTTATGGGTGCTCAAGGGGGGGTTATGGGTGCCTATGGGGGGGTTATGGGTGCCCAAGGGGGGGTTATGGGTGCCCATGGGGGGGCTATGGGTGCTCAAGAGGGGGTTATGGGTGCTCAAGGGGTTATGGGTGCTCAAGGGGGGGTTATGGGTGTCTATGGGGTTATGGGTGCCCAAGGGGGGGTTATGGGTGCCTAAGGGGGGGGTTATGGGTGCTCAGGGGGTTATGGGTGCTCAAGGGGGGTTATGGGTGCCTATGGGGGTGTTATGGGTGCCCAAGGGGGCTTATGGGTGCCCATGGGGGGGTTATGGGTGCTCAAGGGGGGGTTATGGGTGCTCAAGGGGGGGTTATGGGTGCTCTATGAGACTCTATGGGTGCTCTATGGGATGCTCTATGGGTGCTCTATGGGATGCTCTATGGATGCTCTATGGGATGCTCTATGGGTGCTCTATGGATGCTCTATGGATGCTCTATGGATGCTCTATGGATGCTCTATGGATGCTCTATGGGATGCTCTATGGGTGCTCTATGGATGCTCTATGGATGCTCTATGGGTGCTCTATGGGATGCTCTATGGGATGCTCTATGGGATGCTCTATGGGTGCTCTATGGGATGCTCTATGGGTGCTCTATGGGATGCTCTATGGGATGCTCTATGGGATGCTCTATGGGATGCTCTATGGGATGCTCTATGGGGTGCTCTATGGGCCGCTCTATGAGATGCTCTATGGGATGCTCTATGGGCCGCTCTATGTGATGCTCTATGGGATGCTCTATGGGATGCTCCATGGGATGCCCTATGGGCCGCTCTATGGGCCGCTCTATGAGATGCTCTATGGGATGTTCTATGAGATGCTCTATGGGGAGCTCTATGTGGAGCTCTATGGGATGCTCTATGGGGAGCTCTATGGGCCGCTCTATGAGATGCTCTATGGGATGCTCTATGGGCCGCTCTATGTGATGCTCTATGGGATGCTCTATGTGATGCTCTATGGGATGCTCTATGTGGAGCTCTATGGGATACTCTATGGGCCGCTCTATGTGATGCTCTATGGGATGCTCTATGGGATGCTCTATGGGATACTCTATGGGCCGCTCTATGGGCTGCTCTATGGGATGCTCTATGTGATACTCTATGGGCCGCTCTATGGGATGCTCTATGTGGAGCTCTGTGGGTCCCATCTCCCCCCTTTCCCCCCATTCCCCCCCAGCCATCATCCTGCGGAACCTGCACCCCCAGAGCAGCCTGGAGTCCATCCTCACCGCCCTCGCCCCCTTCGCCGCGCTCTCGGCCGCCAACGTCCGCGTCATCAAGGACCGGCAGACCCAGCTCAACCGCGGCTTCGCCTTCGTCCAGCTCAGCACCATCGTGGTGGGTGCTCAGCACCCCCCTATGGGGATGGGGATTGGGGGGTGCCCCTGGGGGCAGCTCCATTATAACAATGGGGGGGTATTGGAGGACACCCCCCCATCCTAACCACCATTGCTCTGGTTATGGGGTGCCCCATAGGAGGCCTCGCAGCTGCTGCAGATGCTGCAGGCCCTGCACCCCCCCCTGCACATCGATGGCAAGAGCATCAATGTGGAGTTCGCTAAAGGCTCCAAGCGGTGAGGCCACGCCCCCTTTTAGGCCACACCCCTAAGCTCCTCCCCTCCATAAGCCCTCTCGTTAGGCCACGCCCCCTTCAGGCCACACCCCCTTGAGCTCAATTCACCAAGCTCCGTCCCATTAAGCCACACACAACCCCCTTGGGCCACGCCCACTTAGGCCACACCCTCTTACGCTGCTCCCCTATTTAAGCGCTGGCCTCTTAGGCCACGCCCCCTTCTGGCCACGCCTCATTAGCTTCTCCCCTCTTAAAGCCACCCCCCCCATGGGACACGCCCCCTTTAGCTCCACCCCTCCCATCCTGTCCCTTTAAGCCACGCCCCCTTTACGTCATGCCCCCTTAAGATACTGCCCTCCTTTAACCCCGTATGTTTTGGCCACGCCCCCTTCGGCTCCACCCCTTCATAAGGCCCGGCTCCAATCCCCAGCCACTGTCCCTGCATGAAACCCCCCCCATGGGACTCCCCAAGCCCCACCCTCGGCCTTAAGCCACGCCTACAATCCTAAAGCCACGCCCCCAACAAGGCTCAGCCTATAGAATGGCATTAAGGGTACGCTCAGCCCCCGCCCTCTGCCCCTTAGCCCCGCCCATAACCCCACTAAACTCTACCTCAGACACCCCCCCAACCAATGATTCCACCCCTGCCCACAAGCCCCGCCCACTGCCTTTTAGTTCCACCCACCACACTAAACCCCGCCCCCCGTCCCTGGCCCCGCCTCCTGCAGCGAGGCCCCGCCCCTGAGCCGAGGCCATGACCCCGCCCCCAGGGAGGTGCAGGGGGCAGGGCCAGGGGAGGGCCCCCCCCGCGCCAGCGCCGCCTCTGTCGCCTCGACTGCCATCGCTGCTGCCCAATGGGCGCTCTCCCAGGTGGGCGGGGCTTAGGGGAGGGCGGGGTTTAAAGGGAGGCCGGGGGGGGGGGCTTGAAGGGAGGGGCATTTCCTGACTTCCTTATAAGGGAGAGGTGTGGGCACGGGGTGGGCGGGGCTTGCCGAGGGGGCGTGTCCTGACGTGGCCCCGCCCCTTCCCGCAGGCCGCCCCTGGCTCCGACACCACGTGGGCCGGGGGGGAGGAGCCTCCCAGTGACTTCGGCAGCTTCTACCAATCAGAGGAGACCTTCAGCGGCCCCGCCCCTTCCCTCTACGGCTCCGCCTACCTCAAGGGCTCCGCGGCCCCGCCCTCTGCCCCCACCCACTCTGGCTCCGCCCCTCCCAAGGCTGATGGCCCCGCCCCTGGTGAGTGCCCCCCCATAGGTCCCCATTGTGTGGGGCACCCCCGTCTTCTCCATAGGACCCCATTGGTTGAGGCACCCACCCCCCTTCTCCATAGGACCCCATTGTGTGGGGCACCCCCTCTCCATAGGACCCCATTGTATTGGTCACCCCCGCTTTTCCATAGGACCCCATTGTATGGGGCCCCATTGGATCCCATTGTTGTGTCACCCCTTTCTCCATAGGACCCCATTGTGTGGCACCCCCCCCATAGGACCCCATTGCATGGGTCACCCCCCTACACTTCTCGATAGGACCCCATTATGAGGGGCACCCTATAGGGGGGACCCCCAAGTGTGGGGCTCAATGGGGGGGGGCAGCACCCTATATTAACACATGAACCCCCCCCCCCAGGTGTAGAGGAGCCGCCAGTGCTGAGCCTGGAGCACACAGCGGGGGGGGGGCCCTTCTCCCGCCCCCCCCAAGGGGCCCCCTCTTATCCCCCCCCCACTGCTGAGACCCCCAATGCCCCCCCCCAGGGTGCCCCCCCCCCGGGTGCCCCCCCCCCGGTTTGTATAAGGTGGGGGGGGGGGCACCCATAAGGGGGGGGGATGTTGGGGGGTCCCCAAAATGGGGGGGGGGGGCAAAATGTAGGGAGGAAATGGGAGGCCCCATAAGTTGGGGGAGGGCCTAAAAAGGGGGGGTTGGCCAATAATGGGGGTTATGGGGTGATTGGGGGGGTAATTAAAGGGGGTCAATAATGGGGGTTATGGGGTGATTGGGGGTTAATTAAAGGGGGTCAATAATGGGGGCTATGGGGTGATTGGGGGGTAATTAAAGGGGGTCAATAATGGGGGTTATGGGGTGATTGGGTTAATTAAAGGTGGTCAATAATGGGGGTTATGGGGTGATTGGGGGGTTAATTAAAGGTGGTCAATAATGGGGGTTATGGGGTGATTGGTGGGGTTTTGGGGTTCGGGGGGGTTAATAAAGGGGGCATCTCCCCCCCCCCAGGCTTATACAGGGCCCCTCAAGGCTGAGACCCCCACCCCAGCCCCCAGTGGGCCCCCCCCTGCCGCCCCCCCCACCTCTGAGTCCTATGGCCAGTACCGTGAGTGATGGGGGGGTCTATAGGGGTTATGGGGGTGTCTATAGGGGTTATGGGGCGGTTTATAGGGGGAATGGAGGGGTGTCTATAGGGGTTATGGGGGGGTCTATAGGGGTTATGGGGGGGAATGGGAGGGTCTGTAG